CTTTGGCGAGCTCTTACGTTCCAGCTGGGCATCTGGAAACTTTGCAGTTATTTTGACCAATGTTGCATCATTCTGATGGTCAACCTGCTAGCGATCCTGGCATTCATTTCATTTTCTGAAGTAATCACTAGATTAGCAGTTCTTCCGCAAAAATTACTTGACAATATTTTAGCCATTTCGCGATAACTTTGCTGTGTTCCCTCCGGACTTTGCCATTCCCGAACCACGAGGCCAAAGGGGCAGTGTTTCAAGAAATTTGAATTGTTTTAAAAAACAGTTCTGGAAAGCTGTTCCACTGTGAGCATTCATTTCTAGGTATGGGTTTCGCGGATCGAAGCGATTCGTTTGATCTGAATGTTGCGCTTCAGGAGCATTTCAGTTATATTCAAAAAAGCGCTGCATTTGATAGCGAGAAGCTAAGCGATCAGCCGAAACTGGACCTTGGCTTCAAAGAGGGCCAAACAATTACAATCAATTTTGGAGTAAGTTTAAATTCTCTATCGTATTGCGTTGTTTAATGGCAGCCGTGGTCTTTCGTCATGCATGATTAGACTGAAAGTTCGACTCTGTCGGTGGGACAGCCGTTTCTTCTATGGTTCTTTCATTCGTTTCGATAATAAAATGGTGTTTTACATTTGCTAGGAATTTTACCCGCTTATAAATAATCGTCTCCTAGACAGAGAATGCGAAAGAGGTTTTGACTTTGACTTTTGATTGCTTCGTTTAGCAGGAAAAAGTTAGGATTTTTTTAGGATAATAATGACTTGTAGCATCCGAAATCTGCGCGCGTCCAAGTAGCATTACTAGTAAAGGGTTCGCCGCACTAATTTTGTCCAGCGTTAGTTTTACTTTTCCCTCTACTGCAATGCAACATTAACCTTCTGTAGTCTTTTTTAACACGCACCTTCATTCCCCTCCCTTCCTTCATCTTCCTTCGGTAATTAACATGTCCCTTTTAAAATGCCGGAATGGGACACTGTACTGATGATTCTCACCCCAATCCGCACCGATTCTGCCGTGTATGCCAGGGATGAAACATAGACTGTTTACCAAGTCACTGCACATAAAGGCTTGTTTATTTGGGCGATCTAAATGGCACTTCCATTTTTTATGCGTTTTTTGCAGCAATGCAATGCGAAAAACGCATGTTGACGAGAGGTTGTGTGTGTTTGTCTATGTGTTTGTGTGTGTGTGTGTGTGTCTATGTGTGTGTTTTTATGTGTGTGTGTGTGCGCTGGGCTTCTGTACCGATTTTTCATCTCGAGACCGGTAAAAGTTACAGGGCTGAAACTTTGGGGGATTAATCTACATGCATGTGCGGGCCACCATTCCCAAAATGGGCGGTCTTCCCCGCGTGGTACCCACGTAAGAGCCCGCCAAAGTTTTTTATGGGTAAGCTGCTAACTCGCGAACCAGAGAAGCTAGAGAGCTGAAATTTTAAGGGAATGTTCCCCGCCCTAGCATGTGCTAATGATATCAAACCCAACCCCCGGGTAAGTGTGGTACCCGCGTACGGGCCGCCAAAATTTTTCTCGCGCAAATTCATAACTCGGGATTCTGAGATGCTAGAAAGCTGAAATTTTAAGGGAATGTTCCCCGTCCAAGTGGGTGCTAATGAGCTCAAACTCAACCTCCAAGTAAGCGTGGTACCTTAGTACGGACCCGCCAAAGTTTTTCCCGCGTAAATTCATAACTCGGGTTTCTGAGATGCTAGAAGACCGTAACATTAAGAGGGTGTTTCTTGTCCACATTAGTCTTAACGAGATCAAACCCATCCCTCGGTCATGCGTGGCACCTACGCACGGGTTCACCAGTTTTTTTCGCGTGAGCTCATAACTCGAGAACCTGTAAAGCTAAAAGACTGTAGTTTAGGAAGATGTTCCCCGTCCAAGTAAGTCTCAACGAGCTTAAACCCAGACATGGGGTATGCGTGGTACCCGAGTGCGGGCTTGTGAAAAAAATAAGTTGCTAACTTAAGAGCCAGGAAGCTAGAAAACTGATATTTTAAGGGGGTGTTCCCTGCCAGTTTTGGCGGCCAGTCTTAATTTATTTAGTTAGAAGGATCTGCCGAAAAAACCGATGCCGGTAGATACAAAAACAGCGGGGAACTATGCAAGAAACGCATCATCGCACGGACAGCCCGTGCGTTGGCCAATTGTTATTAATTATCGAAATCCAATTGTCTCCCTCTCCACGGTGGGCCAGTAATGCCAAACAGACTGCATATGTTAGTACATAGAAAATTTCAGGCCCCGCTTCACTTCCAATCTCCTTGCCAGGAATATTCACTGTTTTTGTCTTTAAAATTTCTGCAACACTTGATATTCTTGGTACTTGCGTGAACATCTGTTGCCTGGTTTTAGAAGAAGTCTTCGACAAATGCACAGAGACCAAAAACTTCCACTGAAGATGGAAGTGGTGGTAGCAGTGCTGGTTCCGGTGGTTTCCCGTTATTGCCACCGCCGCCTTCAGCAACAACACCAGTTACGCAACGTTCACGGAATCTTCCTGGCTCAACAGCGGTTATACAACCCAAATCATAATAAACGGTGTAATCACGTTTTTCATGAATGGATTTGTACATAGTTCCGGACAGTAGTCATGCAAACGCGCTTTTCTGGCATACATTTTTGCTTCTCTCTGACTGATATAATGAATCTGTGATATCGTAAGTTGGCTGTGTTTTTATTCAGGAAATGTCAAAACAGTTTTTTGGATTCTAATTTTCTGAGTTCAATTGTATTCTGTTCAAAACATTCCTTTGTCATTTTTGTACTGGTTTGAAAACCTTATTTAAATAGCTTGAGAAGTGTTTAATTTCCACGCTAGGCTCCACCATTAAACTTTTTATTGTGTCCGTTGGTTGTAAAGTCCTTCAATTGCGAAAATGACAA